GTCTGTGACACACTCACCCAGGGTACAGTGGCTTTGGGCTTCCCATTGAGACTGTGGTACACTCACCAAGGGCACAGTGGGTTTAGCCTCCCCATTGAAACTGTGGCACACTCACCCAGAGTACAGTTTTGGGTCAACCCGATTTGGTTTTCACAAATTTAAGGATCATGAATTCCATGCAACAACCAATATGTGACCAAGAGAAAACACATACATGGACATGTACATTGTATTGGTAACAATATCACATGTATTTGTAACAATGTTACATGTATTGGTAACAATGTTACATGTATTGGTAACAATGTTACATGTATTGGTAACAATGTTACATGTATTGGTAACAATGTTACATGTATTGGTAACAATATTACATGTATTGGTAACAATATTACATAGTTCTCTCACCTATTGGCCCGTTTTAAATCAGCAACAAACTCAGCTGACTGTTGATGCCTCATCTCAGAATTTTTTTGTAATTTTTCCAGCGTAGATACCAACTCCTGTACCCTCAGTTTTAATTTCTTCTCTCGTTTGTGAGCTTCCACTAAGTCCCGTGGTACAGAAGGATCCGACTCAGAGTCCCGCAGTTCCATGTTACTCAACTCAGCTAATGTAATGGCTGGTGTTGTGCTGCCTGGTGTGCCTGCTATGCCTGCATCCTGTAAAACAACACATTATTTACTCTTAACACAAAAAAACCCATTCCCTTAATTTCAAAGGCAACAAAATTCAACAAGAACACATCACTGCATGACATCACAAGGTGACAACATTAAGAGGCATGCATGTATAAATACTGTGCTTGAAATTACCAATTGCCTGCATGCCTGAGAAAACCAGCAAGGTACAAATTAAAACTTATATATGCCCGATGGTCTGGTAAATTTATTCAATGTCTGCTTCAATCAAAATTTGCAAAAAAATGATTTTATTAAATAATATTATTATACATCTGTCATCGTAACGCCATAAGTTACAGCGTGCCATAATTTTGCAGTATTTTACAAGGTATTTTCATCCTACCATATTCGGAAATGTGAATTCCAAATATGGAATGTTTACACACATAAGCATCCTCTAACAGGATAAACAAACACGGCTGCCACCAGGGTTTGACCGGACTCCACACAAAGAACTTCACTGATTTTATTCTAAATTTTTTGTATGTCTTTGTCATACTTTGAGGTATCCTCGTAATATTATTAATAAAACTGACAAAAATAATCATCAAAATTAGAGATATGAAGTACCATCACGAAATGAACAAAACTGAGAGAGGTCCAGCTG